TCTGCTGAATATTAAAACAATCACCACCACTGTGCTACATATTAAAACAATCACCACCACTCTGCTACATATTAAAACAATCACCACCACTCTGCTACATATTAAAACAATCACCACCACTCTGCTACATATTAAAACAATCACCACCACTCTGCTACATATTAAAACAATCACCACCACTCTGCTACATATTAAAACAATCACCACCACTCTGCTACATATTAAAACAATCACCACCACTCTGCTACATATTAAAACAATCACCACCACTCTGCTACATATTAAAACAATCACCACCACTCTGCTACATATTAAAACAATCACCACCACTCTGCTACATATTAAAACAATCACCACCACTCTGCTACATATTAAAACAATCACCACCACTCTGCTACATATTAAAACAATCACCACCACTCTGCTACATATTAAAACAATCACCACCACTCTGCTACATATTAAAACAATCACCACCACTCTGCTACATATTAAAACAATCACCACCACTCTGCTACATATTAAAACAATCACCACCACTCTGCTACATATTAAAACAATCACCACCACTCTGCTACATATTAAAACAATCACCACCACTCTGCTACATATTAAAACAATCACCACCACTCTGCTACATATTAAAACAATCACCACCACTCTGCTACATATTAAAACAATCACCACCACTCTGCTACATATTAAAACAATCACCACCACTCTGCTACATATTAAAACAATCACCACCACTCTGCTACATATTAAAACAATCACCACCACTCTGCTACATATTAAAACAATCACCACCACTCTGCTACATATTAAAACAATCACCACCACTCTGCTACATATTAAAACAATCACCACCACTCTGCTACATATTAAAACAATCACCACCACTCTGCTACATATTAAAACAATCACCACCACTCTGCTACATATTAAAACAATCACCACCACTCTGCTACATATTAAAACAATCACCACCACTCTGCTACATATTAAAACAATCACCACCACTCTGCTACATATTAAAACAATCACCACCACTCTGCTACATATTAAAACAATCACCACCACTCTGCTAAATATTAAAACAATCACCACCACTCTGCTACATATTAAAACAATCACCACCACTCTGCTAAATATTAAAACAATCACCACCACTCTGCTAAATATTAAAACAATCACCAACACTCTGCTAAATATTAAAACAATCACCATCACTCTGCTACATATTAAAACAATCACCACCACTCTGCTACATATTAAAACAATCACCATCACTCTGCTACATATTAAAACAATCACCACCACTCTGCTACATATTAAAACAATCACCACCACTCTGCTAAATATTAAAACAATCACCACCACTCTGCTACATATTAAAACAATCACCAACACTCTGCTAAATATTAAAACAATCACCAACACTCTGCTAAATATTAAAACAATCACCACCACTCTGCTACATATTAAAACAATCACCACCACTCTGCTACATATTAAAACAATCACCATCACTCTGCTACATATTAAAACAATCACCACCACTCTGCTAAATATTAAAACAATCACCACCACTCTGCTACATATTAAAACAATCACCACCACTCTGCTACATATTAAAACAATCACCACCACTCTGCTAAATATTAAAACAATCACCACCACTCTGCTACATATTAAAACAATCACCACCACTCTGCTACATATTAAAACAATCACCACCACTCTGCTATATATTAAAACAATCACCACCACTCTGCTAAATATAAAAACAATCACCACCACTCTGCTACATATTAAAACAATCACCAACACTCTGCTACATATTAAAACAATCACCAACACTCTGCTACATATTAAAACAATCACCAACACTCTGCTACATATTAAAACAATCACCAACACTCTGCTACATATTAAAACAATCACCATCACTCTGCTACATATTAAAACAATCACCAACACTCTGCTACATATTAAAACAATCACCACCACTCTGCTACATATTAAAACAATCACCACCACTCTGCTGAATATTAAAACAATCACCACCATTCTTCTTATTATTAAAACAATCACCACCATTCGCCTACACATTGAAACAATCACCACCACTGGGCTACATATTGAAACAATCACCACCACTCTGCTGAATATTAAAACAATCACCACCACTCTGCTACATATTGAAACAATCACCACCACTCTGCTGAATATTAAAACAATCACCACCACTCTGCTACATATTAAAACAATCACCACCACTCTGCTAAATATTAAAACAATCACCACCACTCTGCTAAATATTAAAACAATCACCACCACTCTGCTACATATTAAAACAATCACCATCACTCTGCTAAATATTAAAACAATCACCATCACTCTGCTACATATTAAAACAATCACCACCACTCTGCTAAATATTAAAACAATCACCACCACTCTGCTACATATTAAAACAATCACCACCACTCGAGTACATATTAAAACAATCACCACCATTCTCCTAATTATTAAAACAATCACCACCACTTGGCTACATATTAAAACAACCACCACCACTCGGGTACATATTAAAACAATCACCACCACTCGGGTACATATTAAAACAATCACCACCACTCTGCTACATATTAAAACAATCACCACCATTCTCCTAATTATTAAAACAATCACCACCACTGGGCTACATATTAAAACAATCACCACCACTCTGCTACATATTAAAACAATCACCACCACTCGGGTACATATTAAAACAATCACCACCACTCTGCTACATATTAAAACAATCACCACCACTCGGGTACATATTAAAACAATCACCACCATTCTCCTAATTATTAAAACAATCACCACCATTCGCCTACATATTGAAACAATCACCACCACTGGGCTACATATTAAAACAATCAACACCAACAAAATAAATTATTATTTCACAGTTCATTTTATTTCCTTATAAAAATTAAAAATATAATTCATTGTCATTGTTTTACAGTGGTCAGATAACTGCTTTACAGTGGTCAGATAACTGTTTTATAGTGGTCAGATAACTGCTTTACAGTGGTGAGATAACTGTTTTACAGTGGTCAGATAACTGTTTTATAGTGGTCAGATAATTGTTTTACAGTGGTCAGATAACTGTTTTACTGTGGTCAGATAAGTGTTTTACAGTGGTCAGATAAATGTTTTACAGTGGTCAGATAATTCTTTTACAGTGGTCAAATAATTGTTTTTCTGTGGTCAGATAATTGTTTTACAATGGTCAGATAATTGTTTTACTGTGGTCAGATAATTGTTTTACAGTGTTCAGATAATTGTTTTACAGTGGTCGGATAATTGTTTTACAGTGGTCAGATAATTGTTTTACAGTGGTCAGATAATTGTTTTACAATGGTCAGATAATTGTTTTACAGTGGTCAGATAATTGTTTTACAGTGGTAAGATAATTGTTTTACTGTGGTCAGAGCGTCTATTTCAGCTGATTTTTTTGCTTTCTTCGCTTGTACCAGGCTTCCGAAAAGTTAATGTCGCGCTGGATATTGTTCATAATTTTAACAATGTTTGCATATATTTTATTTGATCCTCTGCTGGTGTATCGACATTTTTTATAGACGAGAAAGACATGAGGGCTTACATTTCTTTGAAGTACTCGCATTGGCACTCGATAACTGTTCTGGTTAAATTTCTTGACAGATTCAACATTATTCTACTATTGGAGGGGGAAAAAAAGGGGGGGGGGGGCAAAAAAAATGCGCCTGTATTTCACCAAAAAGTCACGTGTTACGGATGTTGCTTAGAAAATAACTTTCAGGGTTAACGTAATTACATAAACCCGAGATTGATGAGATTAGCTTTATACAACATATTTTATATTTAATTTTTGTGTAAGATGATTGTGTTTTTGTTATTGGGATTGAAAAGACAACGTCTTAATCATTGCTCTTCTAAACAATCGAGCTTTCTGAGCCTCTATTTTCCTTCTATTCGTTTAGGTTATCGATTTGTGATTGTATCTCGAAATCCAATTTCATTAATTTTAAATTTATAAATTTTCAAAAAATAAACAGCTTTTCTTGTTACCTTACCCTTCAAAGAGAAAAAAAGAGGTCATTTTGAATGAAATTGTTTTTCTGAGGGGGAAAAACCCCCTACTATTTATGTATTTCCATTGAACTGGAGACGGTTGGGCATTATTAGATATCAGTCTGCCCCCCCCCCACACACACCATTTTTCCGGCTCACTAACTATTTATGTATATTTAAGGGGAACCCTTCTCCCCATATTTCGTTATGGTGTGACATTCGAAGTGACATGTCATGACATGCAATATCATATGACATGACACCATATTTTACTTTTTACGTTGCCATTTAGTTCTTAGCACTACCCTTTCTTTTACATTTACAATTACATTCAATAAAGCACTTCCTGTTACATGTCAGGTTTGTTTCACAGAAATACACTATAATGAGGTTTATTCATTACCATTTCATTCGTCACATTCATGCTCACTTTATTGTTGCTATCCAAAAGTATGTAATGTTACATCAAATTGTATTATTATTATTAGAAGTGGCTTTATAGAGCGTGGTACCCTAGCCTAGGGCTGGGCTCACACCACGCTCTACATACAATTGAACAAACATAATCAAAAACTTTTAAAAAAATTAATTAACAAACATTAAGTAAATCAAACAAAACAAATTATGTATGTTTAAAATTATTTCCATCTCAAGCCATGGACGACACTCAGTCAAGCCATGGACGACACCCAGTCAAGCCATGGACGACACCCAGTCAAGCCATGGACGACACCCAGTCAAGCCATGGACGACACCCAGCAGCATCGTTTTCCGGTCAGAGTATCACAGTCTACACATAAATTAAATTACACATTTTTTAAATTTGCTTTTGAAACATTGTTTCGTTGTTTACTCTTAATGATAATTTATATATATATATATATATAATTAAAAGCTGTTTTTGTTTCAGATACAAAAGTTCATGAACTTCACCGAGTTCACCTCTCATATGGTAATATGGACGATGCCTCTACTTTATAGTTCTTGGCTATGTGAAGAATGAGATAAAAATGTTCAACTTTGTCAATTGTCTTGAATATACTTGAACTTTGGAATAATTCACTTAGCAGAAGTCTACTACTTCGTATATGTCTTTGTGCTAGGAAATTATACAACTCTACTATTTTATTTACTGCAATTTTATGTGATTTAAAAATTATAAAAAAAAAACTCAATACTTCGAAAACATCCTCTAAGTTGTGCATGACTTGTTCATCAGTCACTTGTGCAAACAATTTAGAGCCATGTTTTTAGGGGTTGCTCAGGAGGGTTTGGCATTCGGCTTGTGTCATAATTTGATAATTAGATACTTTCCAATACACTGACAACGGAGAACCTAAACACGAGTCTCAAGCTCCAGCCACACAGAGAGCTGAAGACGACGACAGCATGAACGCCTCAGTAGTAGACTTTTTTTTTTCTTTAGTCATATTAAAATAATCAATCAAGTCGAAGTCTTGTGTAGGCCCACTTGAATCTGAACACAAACATGAACCGAACCGTTTCAGATAACGGCTACTGTATTAAACACAGATCCATGACCTTGCTGGCAAAGGTGGGTGTCACATTGGTGACTGCGGGTTCAAGGACAGCCTTGACAAGATCGGAGATTCCATATTGCGTTCGTGCCGAGCATTCGACGTAGGCAGAGGTTCTCTGACTGTGGAGCAACAGTGTATCAAAGATTCAATTGGTTCCTTTTAATCTGTCTCTAAAGACCTCTAAACATTGCTACGTGATATAAATCAGTGTGATTTTTTGTTTGTGTGTTCATCAAGACTACTTTATAGTAGAAATGCCGTTACAGTTGTTTATTATTTAACAAAATAATTAAAGGACGCTTTTAAGGTTTTCAGTTATTAGTGGTATGTTGGTACATGACTGATTGTGGTCTTCAACCCAATAACCAGGCATAGATATCGTTGACACTCATGTATTTTGTTTTATTGATACATATTTTTTTTAAAGTCAAGAAATATCCTTTTGTTGTTATTATACTTTGCCAGATCTTATATGATTTTTAAAAAATTAGGAGGGTTAGCGATATCTTTAATAAATGTTTTAAAAAACATGAACATAATGTTACCAAAACATTCCTTTTAAAAAGAGCATAACCATCATTTCTACTGTAAAAAAATTAATATCATTATTTAAAATACTTATTTAAAAATGACTTTTTTTTTTCATGTCCCTTAAACATAGAAATGTAATGGGGCATTCAGTCTATTTGAATCGAGTTGAAAGTCTTAGGCTGAAATACATTATAATACACATGTAAAATAATGAAAAGCTAGCAGAATAAGTCATCTTCAAAGTTCGTATTTTCTTTTTAGAGTTAGGCGTTATCAAAACAGTAATTTATTATTATAATTTTTTTTTTGTGTGTAGAATTAGAAACCTTCAAAATAGCTAATGAAGTTTGATGATTGATAGGTTCCATGCCCACAAAATAGTTAATGAAGTTTGATGATTGATAGGTTCCATGCCCACAAAGAAAACCTTCTCTGTTCTTTATCATGTGACAGTTTCCACTCAGACTTCGCTCTGCTCCAAAGCCAAGGAGTTCTGTTGATTTTATTTGTCATTTTCTCTGGTGAAAGGCTTTTGACCGAAACTTTCGTTGTCTTTTTTTTTTTTTTTCATGTTTCCTTTTCCATAGTTTACCCTTAACTTGTGTTCTTTCTATCTTTGTCTTTTAAAGTAATCCCAGAAGCCACCCGCACAGGGCTACCACTCAATTGCTTTATAATTCCCGAGATTTTGTCAAAATATTTCCCAAGATTTCCCAAGATCATGAAAATATATAAGAGTTGTTTTTTTTTAATCTTGGGAATTTAAAAAAAAATAATTGAGTTTTGGTCCTGAATATGGTAGTGAATTCCCAAGATTTGGGGAAAATTCCCAAGTTGTGGCAGCCCTGAACCCGCACCCTATTAAAAAAAACATATTCTTATAGATATTTTATGGTATGTCGAAGAATTTATGTATTCCTATTTATTGGTCACACATGTTCATAAAATTGATCCGGCTTATGGAATCTGATTGACCTAGATAGATATGAACTATTTAAAAGAGGGTTTGACTGTGATCAAGCTTAAATAAGATAAACACACAAGCCGTCTGTGTAAATAACAGTAGGTTAGGGTTTGATTAAAAGATCACATTTAAAAAGAAACAAAAAAAACAAACATTTGACCTTAAAAGAAAAGTAAATTAGACTTTGTACAGATTTCTTAAGAAAAACGTCTGACAGACTTAGGATTCAACTTAACGGTCGTGTCTCATGTATCGATTAGTCGTTTCCAGTCAAGTACTTACCTGTCAGCCATGGTTCTATCATAAGCTCTGGCCAGCGCTGAAGAGTTTGGCGCTCTCTCTAGGTCACATTTGGTCCCCACTAAAATGAGACGTGAGTTGGTGAACAGAGTTTTCAGCTGAAATCAAAAACATCACTCTTAAAAATAATGTTTGTGATAATCACCAAAAAATATTTCTTCTTCTTCTTCTTCTTATATTTGAGGGGCCCACGATCAATTTGTTGATCATTCTGGCCCCTGGTTTTAATTCAGATTTTGCATTTCGATGTAACAGTTCAAGTATTGTCAATGTAAGACTTCTGATATTTCAATTTACGAGTTTAAATATATCAATTTAAGTTTTGATATATTTTAATGTACGATTTCAAATATGTCAATGTAATATTTCAATGTATTTAAATGTAAGAGTTTAAAAAAACAAAAAAAAAACGGTTAGGCTACAGGAGCGGTTCTCAACCTTTGGGGATCGAACGACTCTTTCCCAGGGGTTGCCGGGGATCATTTGAAAACACATATATTCTACAGTTATGAAGAAGAAACGAAAATAATTTTATCGTTGGGGGCTCACCACAACATGAGGAACTGTATTAAAGGGTCGCGGCACTGGGGAGGTTGAGAACCACAGTGACCATTTTTGAATAATTTTTATTTTCAAATTTTGAAATAAATCCAAATGCTTGCTTGATAGGTGCGATTCTCTTGAAATACAATTTACATTGAACCACCATTTTTTTTTTCACTTTAACATTATCTAGTGATTATTTCAATGGTATATTTGCTTAAAATAATGTTATTCTTTCCTTAACTCTTTTTGACACACGGAGATTAAAAAAAACTTACAATTAAATAAAGGAAATATACTGACCTTATGGACCCACAGTTCCATTCTGGTGATTCCTTTCGGGTCATTGACGCCAATGCACAACAGTATCACGTTGACTTCTTGGGGTCCTATCGCTGATTTGAGATCCGTCTCGTCCATAACTTCCAATACGATTTCGTGCTGAGAAAACACAAGAAAATGTTTTCGTTGTTTTTTTTTGTGTGTGGTTTTTGTATATACTCACCCACAACGAACTGGCCAGGTAGGTTAACATTCTAATATGAGCCAGTAGCAAACTGGCAAGAAATGTCAACATTCGCTGAGCTCAGTAGCGCATTAAAATAAACCGCACTCATCAGTGCGCCCATTTGTGTTCAATAGGTGCACACCATAAACTGGGATGCTCTAAAACACTGACTGGGTGTCTTATTTGACGGAAATTGACTCTATTTAAATCTGATCAAATAAATAGGATTGTTTTTTATGTCTGGGTATATATATCTGGTTCTAAGTATTATTTTTATTGGGACTCTTATAAAATGCGTTACTTGAACGCATGTTTTATCAATTAATTTTTAGAAGATGGGAATTTCACGTATTGCCGCCACCAGTGTATGGCGGGCTAGTTCCAATCGCTCATTACAATTAAGTTTTGATAAAATAAAAAGACTAAAGTACTAAACACGGTGTTAAGTTTCTTTTCATCTTTCTGTTGTCCTAGCTGTGACACGCTTTGGCCTAAAAGTGAAATTAATTGAAACATACTAGTCACTGCATAATATATTTCGTGAGATTGTTTTTTCATAACTTCATACATGATACTAATTTGAAATATACTAGCCTCTACATTACATTTCGCCTTATTGTGTTTCTATAACATCTTATATGATATTAAATGAAACATTCTAGCCGCAATATTAATTTTCGCCAGATTCTGTTTCCATTACATCTTACATGATATTAATTGAAACATGCTAGCTGCTACATTACATTTCACCAGATTCTGTTTCCATCACATCTTACATGATATTAATTGAAACATGCTAGCCGCTAAATTACATTTCGCCAGATTCTGTTTCCATCACATCTTACATGATATTAATTGAAACATGCTAGCCGCTACATTACATTTCACCAGATTCTGTTTCCATCACATCTTACACGATATTAATTGAAACATGCTAGTCGCTACATTACATTTCGCCAGATTCTGTTTCCAATACATCTTACATGATATTAATTGAGATACCTGTTCTGCACCATCGGTCACGTCAAAAACTTGGGGTTGAAAGACAATTGGAACATAGGTATCTGGAAAGGGCTTCTTGGTCAGGATGAGGGCCAGGCATGTCTTCCCGCTGGACTTTGGACCTGCAATGATGACCTTCGTCCTTGGCATTATGCTGCGTTGGTCACATTTAGAATCTGAGCAACTACCGAAAATTATTTAAAAAAGATATTGTAATAATATTGTGACATGTTATATTTTATCTTATTATTTGGCACCTTCCCTTCTTGGGCAAAAATCTACCTCATTTTATTGCAATTCTATTAATGTTTTGAACTTAAGCACATTTCTTACGAATTGAATCAAACTGTCAAATATATAAATTTATAATGAAAATGTTATAGATGTATACAATTATAGACCTTTATATAGATTCATTTGGAAATAACTGATTTTTTTTTGATTTTTTAAATATGTTTTTACTTTTGATTCAAAATCATGAAATGTTGTAAATAAAGAGGTCAACCTGGACTCGAGCCCGGGTCTTATGTGTGGAAGTCGATTGAAATGACACATTTTGTGACAAGTTTTGTGACAGAGATTAAATACTTTTATATCAGTCTTTATTGTTAATAAGAATTTCAAATGTGTATCTTATTCACACGATGAAACTACTAATTTTATTGTGCCTAACATTTATATGTCACACATCTTTACATATGAGAACACTATCATTGGCTTGAGCACATATTCTCACATAATAATTAAAAAATAACACATAACCGAAATCATGTGTCTATGCTTTTGATTTAACACGCGAGTTAAAAAATATAAATATCTATCTTTATTATGTATTTGTCCTAGATGATCATGAAAAGACATAGGAATTATGTGAAACTGTAAGTTCATGTCTAGTTAAGAATAGTGAAAGTAGTATTTTCCTCCGCCATTCAGACTGTAACAGAAAAGGTTAAGGTCATTCGCTGTAACCTTAACGTCTTCACTTATTTCCTCAATGAGATCAAATTGTTACCCTTCATATTTAAAAAAAAAAAATTGTAAATGAAAACAACAACATCGGAACGCATTGTTACTCGCAATATTCTATTGATAACAATGGAATCATAAAAATGGTCGAATACTTACATGCGAATTGAACTCAAACCGAAACACAAATGGTTGGAGACATACTCCGCTGGTGTTTACTCTCTAACAACAACTGTTTACTGATTACAGCGAGACACGTGACCATGTCTGTCACCCCCCCCCTTTTCATTCACCACCCCTTTGATGACGTAATGCCTTAAAGACCTCCGCGCCAACCATGACGCTACAAGACTCCTCCTAACACTCGGCGGGAGTCGCGTGACGACCATGTATCTGAGGAAATCTGCAACCGTCACGTCACCCTTTTGGGGTGTTCGGAGAAAATTGCTTTACGTCGTACACTCGAACACATTCAATGCATACGGCATTGGAGCCCAACACACGCCCCAAACCAAATCACGCCCCTCCCCACTCCCCGAGGTGATAAGCCCGAGACACACACACACATGGCTTATTCAAATATTTGTGCCTACAAAAATTGTTCACGCCAGTGGCTCTGAATGGCCTGTGTGCCACGGCTTTGAAATGACGCAAACATGTGGCTTTGGTCTTGATCTCTATTAATGTGTAAAGCAGCGGTTCTCAACCCGCCTAATGCCGCGAGCCATCAATACAGTTCCTCATGCCTGTGGTGAGCTCGAACCATAAAATTATTTTCGTTGCTTCTTCATAAATATGTTTTTCCCATGGTCTTAAGTGACCCCTATGTAAGGGGTCGTTTGACCCCCATGTGGAGACCCGCTGGTTTAAAGGAATACCAAAATACGTGATGTCAATCACGTACTAGATCATGCAGTGCCGAATTTTAAACATCAAAGGTATAAGTCATGGAGACAGTAGAAGTAACCTTTTTAGTGACAAATTAATGACATCAATGACAATGTTGAAATTAATATAACTAAAATATAAAAAATATCCCCACTTCTCAACAACTCCCTCCCCCACCCCCCCAACACCCCCCACCCCCC